CCATTTCAGCAAGATGCGAAACCTTCACTCTCCAGTCCTCTATTGTAGGTAAAACTTGACTCTTCCAATTTTGAGCTATCAGCAAACGGGCAGCAGTTAAACAATACAACATCAAATTCGTTTCTTTTACATCCAAATTATGTGTAATACCTAGGAGGAACAACTGAGGCAAAAAAAAAATTCTTCTTTTAAAAACTTGACGAGAATGAGTGTTATAGTAAACCTATTCTGAAACAGTTTTGCTTTTCTCTGTTTATTTTTCAGGGATTTCAGTACAGATGCCAAAAACATCCAAATAAAGCAAACGAAACCTTTATGGCACAACTATTTTCTCTGTGGGTTCAAAGGAATACAGGTGAAGTAACTTCAGTTTGCATCCTTCCCCTTTTGACATTTTCAGCAAAATGGAAAGCAAAACATAAATGTTCTAATACACGCAGTATGTTAGAAAGTTAAATACATGCTGTTTGTTTTTTTAAAAAAATAATATATGCAGAGAGCACATACTATGTGTACAAAGTTTCTACATTAACTCTGCACTTATCGATAGGAACTATTTAATAGATAACGTGTAATGTTTAATATTATAAATTGTAGCTCTTCCTTTTTTGTGATCTACACTTTTAAAAGTTGGCAAGTGGCCTCTTGGAAATTTCAGGGCTCCTTCTCACCATTCCTCTTTACGAAATTATTTTTAAAACCTAAGATAGAATCCCGTGGCACAATCTGTTTATATTAAACTGAACACATTATCCACTGGAAAGAAACATCCTGCCCAGCTCCATAAATAAAACAAAACAAAACAAAAAAACCCTTCAATTTTGAGTCAGAGACTTTGTTCTCCCTCCATATACGTATTCCGTAATAAATGTGAAAGTTTGATCCATCTTCAAAGAAATGTTTGCTAATCCATTTCTGGTTAAGAATCTGATGGATTTCTCTCTCTTGGGAAATTGTCAGAGGTGGCTTCACAGCAAGTAGTTTGTCTGCCTTAAATTGAGGTGGGTTTTTTTTTTGTGGGCAGTTTACGGTAGTGCGCAGAATGTGTTTAACTTCAACTGTCTTCTGTGGGTGTTGCAGGAATCTTGTTGTCTAATACTGGAAGCATGTCAAGAGGGTTGAAGGGGACTCAGCCTTTCTAAAACAGATCATCAGGCTTTCTGCATATTGCCAGTTTTTCTTAGTAATATAAGCATATGCAAACACAAGAAGCTGTGGTACCAGATTCCATCAGGAATGCCAAATGGATCTAGAAACAACCCACTTTGTCAGCACTGAACACAACGCTTTGGAATTCAGAGGTTCAGTTTAGCAGAGTTTAAAGACAATTCATAGATTGGGCCTCTCAAGTTTCCCCACAGTGTTTGAAACCTCAATACCTTTAAGATGTGTGGACTTCAGTTCCCAGAATTCCCCGACACTGAGGACACTCTGTGCCCTCCAGAGGAGTAGCTGGAACTCCCAGAATTCTTAGCCCTTGTGATCATTGCTGAGAATTTTGGAAGTTCAAATTCCCTCAGATATATAAAACATTAAGAAAACCAAGATCATGGCATCCGGCCCTCTCAATTCCTGGCAAATAGATGGGGAAGAAATGGAGGTAGTGACAGATTTTATCTTCCTGGACTCCAAGATCACCGCAGATGGGGACTGCAGCCAAGAAATTAAAAGACGCTTGCTCCTGGGGAGGAAAGCTATGGCAAATCTAGACAGCATACTAAAAAGCAGAGACATCACACTGCCAACAAAAGTGCGTATAGTCAAGGCCATGGTTTTCCCAGTTGCAATGTATGGCTGTGAAAGTTGGACCATAAGAAAGGCTGAGCGCCAAAGAATTGAGGTCTTTGAACTATGGTGCTGGAGAAGACTCCTGCAAGTCCCCTGGACTGCAAGGCAATCAAACCGGTTAGTCCTAGAGGAGATCAACCTTGACTGCTCTTTAGAAGGCCAGATCCTGAAGTTGAAACTCAAGTACTTTGGCCATCTAATGAGAAGGAAGGACTCACTGGAGAAGAGCCTAATGCTGGGAAAGATTGAGGGCAATAGAAGAAGGGGATGACAGAGAAGGAGGTGGCTGGATGGAGTCACTGAAGCAGTAGGCGTGAGCTTAAATGGACTCCAGAAGATGGTAGAGGACAGGAAGGCCTGGAGGAACGTTGTCCATGGGGTCGTGATGGGTCAGACACGACTTCGCAACTAACAACAACACTTTAGACAAATGTAGAACAGGGGCTCCCAATCGGGGCAACTTTTAAGACATGTGGACTTCAACTCCCAGAATCCCAGAATCCATCTCATTTAAAGCAGAGGAGGACAGCTTGAGATAACCACCATTGGCATGCCATCTTGGAAGCTTCCTCTAGGGGAAATTTGCTGGATGTTGGCATCATGGTTTTGCTGCTTTGTTTCCACACGGAAACAAATGTAAAACCCGTAACGTGTTTTCTAAAACTAAGAAACCCCTCCAAACCTCAATAAAAATTCGCAAACATCTTAGCCTTCTTTCATACTCTGAGCAAATGCAGCTCCCAACCACCCAAAGATAGCCTCCAAATAGAAACAGAGATATAAAGATATTGCTCTTCTAGTCACTATGAAAAAGCTCAGCATTAAAAAAAACAAACATAAAAATCAAGTTCTTAAGTTCATGCATGTCTCTTGTTTAGTTCATCACGGACAAGATAATATAAAAAGGGAAATGGGGGACAATGGTTATGGACAATTAATACCAAGGAAATATTTTTGCTTATCCTGTACTTTGCAATCAAGTTTAGCTCTGTGGTTTATCTTGGTCTTTTGTTATAAAAATGCATATCTGTTTTCTAACTGTATTATTAATTATTCTCTCTGGGTTCAGACCTGCAGCTGATTTTATTGCTCAGCCCCCCATAAAGCACCCACACAATGACAATGTTCTCCAAAAGCTATGTTCAGGAAATACATGGAGGCTGCTGATTGTGTCTAGGCATCTAGCCACTAGCATCAGCCGCTCTTGGGGCAGGTTTTATGCTGCCTTTTGTTTGGATGCCGAGCGTAACACGTTTTTCTACTTAATTTGACAATTCATATTTAAACGACTTAAGTCACATTGGGAACAAAAATCAGGTGGATGAATGGAAAACGGGAAAGAGCAGCATGCAAGTTGCATGTGATTTTCAGGAAAGTTGAGAAGATCTCCTCGAAATTTCTTTTTAAAATAAAATCCGCATCCTGGCTAAAACAGCTATTGGTTCCGTTCCCTCTGCAATGGTAATAAAAATAAAAATCTGATATACTTTTCTTAGGCATCAGAAATACACGTCAATTGCCTGCAGAGCAGTACGAGTTATCTAATGATGTAACCCTTGTTTGTTTTCAGGAATCTAACTCAATTATATTTTGGGCCTGCCTAGTTCTCTGAAAACAGGTCCAAACGGCTATGTATGTCCTGCCCAGGAAGCCATGAAAACTTGGCGTCTGCGTGTATGTGCATACATACATAGATATATCGGCAGTCCTGAGCCTAAAATTTATGTTGTTAAGTGAGTTTTGCCCCATTTTGCGACCTTAGGTTATTAAGTGAATCACTTGCAGCTATTAAGTTAGTAACACCATTGCTTAGTGAATCTGCCTTTCCCATTGGCTTGGCTTGTCAGAAGGTCGCAAAAGGGACCACGTGACTCGAGACACTGCAACCGTCACAAATGTGAGTCAGTTGCCACGTGTCCGAATTTTAATCACAGGGATGCTGCAACGATGATCGTAAGTGTGAAGAACGGCCGTACGTCACTTTTTTCAACGCTGTTGAAATTGTTAGTAAACAAACCGTCGCACGTCACAAGACATCCTGTAGTAGGAAAAAAACAGCTTTCCTTCTCCCATGAAGAAGAGGGCTGTTTAGTTCTTCTGAAACGCTGAAATCGGTGTTTGTCTTGTATGGTTAGGATCACTTCAGTCTGGGGAACCCGAGTGGAATTAACTGCCTCGTAGAAGGGACAATTCCTCCAAGTTCCGGCTTGTCAAGCTCCAGTGCTTTGGTCTGTTGTGCGGGACTCGTGACCCTCACGGCAAACGGCAAGACACTTTCAAAGGTAAGATTGGAAAGAAGGACCGTGCTCTGCAACAGGCGGTTAAAAATCCGAGCTTGCGAATTTACGTAATTTAAAAAACAAACAAACCTCGTAAACTATGAATTGTTTCCACAATTAGCAGTTGGGGAGTTTATATCTGAAGTGGACCGATGGAAATTTTGAGAGGGCGTTGTGGGGTCGGGCTCAAAGGGCCATGGGAAAATAGATGGTTACCGTAATGATTTGGATCCTTTCGAGAGTTCTTCCGAAATGCAACGCAAACAACGGTCAATAAAAGGGCAGCAAACATTTAACAGCCGATCTAGTCGTGTTCGGGATTTTTCCCACTGAGGTCATGGCGCTTATGTGGGCGGAGGCTGGAAGGGAGAGAAGAACCCAACTGGGCAGGTTGTGCAGGGTTGAGGGCCTCCTGCGGTCTTCAACCTTCCAATTGACCAGGAGATTAACAGTTGTTAAGTGAATCGCTGCAGATGTTGAGTCAGTAAGACGGTTGTTAATTAAGTCTTTAATTAAATAACTAAATGGACGGAAAGTAACCAAGGAGAGAAGCAAACTAGAACTAAGGAGAAACTTCCTGACAGTTAGAACAATAAACCAGTGTAACAACCTGCCTCCAGAAGCTGTGAATGCTCCAACACTGGAAGTTTTTAAGAAGAGACTGGACAGCCATTTGTCTGAAATGGTATAGGGTCTCCTGCCTGAGCAGGGGGTTGGACTAGAAGACCTCCAAGCTCCCTTCCAGCTCTATTTCATTCCATTCCATATTCTATTCCATTCTATTCTGTTCTATTCTATTCTATTCCCTATTTCTATTCTATTCCCTATTTCTATTCTATTCCATTCCATATTCCATTCCATTCCATTCCATTCCATTCCATTCTATTCTATTCTATTCTATTCTATTCTATTCTATTCTATTCTATTCTATTCTATTCTAAATCTGGCTTCCCCCTTGACTTTGCTTGTCAGAAGGTCACAAAAGGTGTTGACATGACCCCGGGACTCTGCGATCGTCATAAAAATGAGTCAGTTTCCAAGAGTCTGAATTTTGATCACGTGACCCTGGGGATGCCGCAACGGTTGTGAGTGTGAAAAACGGTCGTAAGTCACTTTTTTTCAGTGCCATTATAAGTTGGAAGTCACTAAACAAACCGTTGTAAATTGAGGACTACCTGTACTGAGTCCTTCCGTGCTTCCTCTCCCAAATGTTCTCTGCTACCCCAACTTAATCCTGGCCTGTTTTTTCTAAGTAAGAGGAGATTCTGTCACGTAATGTCCTGGGCTGCATCCACTTGTCATTAAGGCTTATGTCGTAAGAACCTCCTCAAGCAACCTTAATCTTTCCCAGAAACGCTGCATCACCACGTGCCTGCCCCACCAGCGCTAACGTGGTGATAAGTGAGGACAGAAACTTCTCGGTATTAACATGGCATTACTGAATGCCAGTCCCAGAGAGATCTGCTTGGCACTTTCACGATTAAATTTCAGACAACAGCGTGGAGGCGGTGTGAATTTTCAGGATGGATTATTCAATTGCTTTGCTAGATGAAAAAGTCCTTTTTGCGACGACTGTTAACCACGGTTTTATGCCATGCTCAGAGCTCTACTGCGTAATTTGCCGAAGAAGAGCCGTCGTTAAATAGCGTGTTAAAGGTTGGAAAGCCTTTGACGAATGATCTAAAGAAAGAAATTCAAAGTAAGACCCATTGAGGTTTCAGATTAATGCCATCTTTAAAAAATTAGCAGAGTTAGTTTACCAAGAGAACTGCAAACTTTAGACCATCCCTGACTAGTATTCTGGCACACTGTAATCAGACAAAGCTTGCTAAATTATTTCCATATCTTTGTACTGGAAAATGCTTCATTTCTGTTTGTAGCAAAGAGGCAGCACTCTGCGCAGTCTTTATTCTGTAAGTTTGTTATTTCATAACAGAAAAAAAAGTGTTTCTAATGTTGTAATCTGTTTCCTTCTTGAATTGACTTGAAATTTCCCAACATCTTTTCAGTTCTGACAGTTGAAGTTCAATATACTTCTGAGGTTCCTAGATCTTGTGCAAAAGCTCTGTTCTAATCATAAAATCACTTAACCTCAGGGCTGAAGTGCATTTTAGCTGTACTTTGATTAGGTTAAGAACATGATTTTCAAGTGTTTATCGGTGTACTGAACATTAAAGAGAAAAGTGGCGTATAAAAAGAACACAGTTGCAGTGTTAAAACATGAAAGGCGGGTGCTGTTTTAAGCGACACATTTTGCATGTTGTCAAACAATTCCGAGGAGAGTGTGTTCTGACTGATGTAGAAATCAAACCGTAAATTATCTCCCTTTCCCTAGAATAACTTTTTTTAAAAAAATGCGAAGAAGTTCAAAGGAAATATGGTAAACCAGATGTGGGCAGTTAATCACTTGCAGCATAAATCGGCACTACAGTATCTAAGAAAAAAAAAAAACTGGGTCCAGTTTTGTTTTGTCTAAAAAACTCTCTGGGCAGGGTCAGCAAATGGCTCAAGAAGTTGGTCTGACCAAGATGAAGATCTAATATTGCATAAACTTGGTTTTTGCAATCTGCTGTCTTTCTTTCCCTCTCCCCTCACCACCCTTATAGAGCAGCTGGAATAGGAGGTGGATTTGTAGCACATGACCAGAACTTGTTCACTGACAAAGTACACATACACAACCTTCTTCATGCCAGAAATCACACTTTCTTTTGAATAGTATCCCGGAGATCACCCTGGCCTAAATTATTACCATCATTTTATGCCTTTGAGTCAGTGTCGGTTCTGGGCGACTGCCTGCTTGGCTGGTCCCTGCAGGTTTTTTGGGCAAGGTTTTTCAGAAGTAATTTGCCATTGCCTGCTTCCAAGGGCTGGAAGAGAGTGACTGGCCCAAGGTGACCCTGCCAGCTTTGTGCCTAAAGCAGGACTAGAACTCGCAGCCCTCTAGTTCCTAACTTGGTGCCTTGATCACTACAGCAAACTGCCTCTCGCCCAAATTAACAGATGGAAAGATATTTGACCAGAACGGAAGGCCTTTTGGAGATGGGTCATGAATATTCTTATGAAGTAGGGGAAGCTGCTTTGGATATGGAAAAACAGCTCACCGGTTTGGCAAAGGGATCGTGAGAAACTTCTCTGGGCTGTAGCTGAATTCATGAGAAAACGAACAATTACGTGTTTTAAGGACAAAGAACACTGTAGCGCAGGGTTGGGGAAGGAGAGAATTTCACATCTCTTTCAGCAACACGCTTACCTTGTTATTATTTTAAGTATAATAGAAATAAAAGCTTCCTATTTATTTCTATTAGATTTAAAATAATAATAATGATGATGATGATGATGATGATGATGATGATGATGATGATGATGATGATGATGGAGGAAGTATGTTGCTGAAAGAGATGCCAAATTCTCTTCTTCCTCAATGCTGCGCTATAGTGCAGGGTTCCACGACAGTGTTGCAAACTGAAATGCTAACATTAACACTCCCTGCATTTCATTAAATGCCTCTGTCCCTAAACAAAAATAGTAGGTAGCAACAATGCTCCCTTGTTGTTGTTTTTTGTTGTTTTTTTGTTTTAAAAAACATCCCGGGCGGGGGGGAGAGACTGATGTGCCATCAGAAAGTAGCCATCCCAATTTGTTGTTGTTGTTGCTAGTTGCGAAGTCGTGTCCGACCCAGCGCGACCCCATGGACAACGTTCCTCCAGGCCTTCCTGTCCTCTACCATCTTCTGGAGTCCATTGAAGCTCAGGCCTACTGCTTCAGTGACTCCATCCAGCCACCTCCTTCTCTGTCATCCCCTTCTTCTCTTGCCCTCCATCTTTCCCAGCATTTGGCTCTTCTCCAGTGAGTCTTTCCTTCTCATTAGGTGGCCAAAGTACTTGAGTTTCAACTTCAGGATCTGGCCAAATTTATGTTTTGAAAAAAACACACCCCATCTCAGTAACCCTGTCATGAAACGCCACTGATTCTCAGACCGGTAAACCCACCTATTGATCTATTGAAAGACTCTGGAAACTAATTAAAGAACAGAAAGGGAGAGAGAGAGAGCTGGAATTAATGGCTACTACTCACAATTATCCTAGTTGACAGACCAGAAAACAGAGAGGCCAAGGAAGTAACCTTCTGCCACTATGAGGCAACAAGGCAATCTGGAGGCTATCCAAAGATCAGCAACAAGACTGGAATGAAATTAAGCAAGAAGGCTTGAACCTTGAGCAAGGAACCTTTTAACAAGAGAGGATTACAAAACTTATCTATAATCAGGAGCTTGGCACATGACCTATGTCAGAATACCCTACTTGACCCCAATACTGTTCCATCCCTAGGCTGTAATTGTGTGAAGGCTTTGATCCTTGACCTACAAAGCTCCTTTCCAGCATCAGAAGTTGCTCATTAAGGCATGCCAAATACATGAACTTTTGGAGTAGAGAACCTTTTAGAGACCGAGTGCCCAAACTGCAACCCAAAACCCACTTATGTATCGCCGGGTGCCAGGTGGGCGTGGCCCACTGAGTGCGCGTGGCTGTAGTGGTCACGGCAGATTGGGTGGGTGTGGACAAGGTGGGCATGGTCACCTCAGTGTTGCTCATGGGGAGGGATGCCTGTGGGGGTGGGTGGGCAGGGTTGGGGGAGATCCAGGGGGTCTCTGGTAGGTGGGGCGGTAGGCAGGAGGCTCGTCCTGTGGGGTGAGGTGCGGCAGGGCAGGGGTGCCATTGCCATGGGGCAAGGCAAGGGGCGGCTACTGCCTGACACCATCGGCCCCCGCACACAAGAGGCCAGTGACCACATGGGGGCCGACGGTGTCTATCAGCAGCCACAGCCTGCTGGCCCCTTGACCGGCACACTCTGGAGCTCCACAGCCTGCCGCCAGCAGTTCAAAGAAGCCGCCTCTGAGATGGATGGCCAGCCGACAGCTGAGGAGGTGATGCAGTGGGTCGTGCCCAGGAAAAGGAGGGCATGCAAGGCCAGGAGGGACGGGATGGGGGGGAGGGAAACCAGCT